TCTCTCTCTCTCTCTCTCTATAAAACCATTGAAGCTAACACCAACGCCATAGTTACTGACCCTTTCTTCTGAAGTGAAAAAATTGCTATTCCATTGATCGGGTTTTCCTCATCGCGATTCAAATAGACATATATACTGCTATAAAGACTGAGTTTTGGTGAACAATAATTTCAGAGCAAGATTAACGGAAGAAAAAAAGAGGGAAAAAGGAAGAGCTTTTGAGTGTTCTCTGCTTCACAATCTGTATATACTCTCAGATCTTGAATTGGATTCATTTTTTTTTTTTTTAATCATCTGGGTTCCTGTTTTTGGTGAAATATAAGCTGGTACTTGTTTAGTTTTTTCGTGATTTGTTGTTATTTTGTAGTCTTGTCGCTTGTTTCAAGTCAAAGCTCGAGTCTTTATTGATTTTTTGTACAGGTATTTACGGGATTTCTGGGCGCCGTTGATTGTTTTTTTCGATCAGTTTAAAGATCAGATACTGTCTTGTTGTGTAAGAAATTGCCATCTGCTCTGGTAATTGTCTTCTTTACTCAATCGACATTATCGTGTTTCGCGGTGGTCGGATTCTGTTTTTTTCGATGGTTGATGCTGAACTTGAGAGTGATTTGTGCAAAATATAGAAAATAAATTGAAAATTACTTACTGCTTCATTGATCCAGCCTTACTTGCTAATGGATCCTTTGCTCAGTTGCTCTGTACTTGTAATGACTTGTTTCTTATTGATGATGGAGAAATTGAATATGGAGTTTTGGGATCTTTTTGTTAGAATAAATTAGTTCTTTATAGGTTGGATGATATATCTATAAACTGCAAATTGATCGGTCGATTGGCGATTGGTTGTGTGCAGAGTGAATGGAAATGGAAGTGGGAAAGTTGTTTGTTGGTGGGATTTCATGGGAGACAAACGAGGAGCGTCTCGTTGAATATTTCCAAGCTTTTGGCGAAGTTTTGGAAGCTGTGATTATGAGGGACCGAGCTACGGGCAGGGCTCGTGGTTTTGGTTTTGTGGTCTTTGCAGATGCTTCTGTTGCTGAAAGAGTTGTTAGGGAAAGGCACGTCATTGATGGCAGAACCGTAAGTCGTGTGTTTCCTTTGGATTGTTGCATTCGGTTAATAATGCTCGTATTTTGTAGATTAGAAATGCTTAAAGTGTTTGGGAGTGTGTGTCTGAACTCACTAAGAATGAAAAAAGAAAAGATTGTTTAGAGTTTTTACAAAAGCTAGCTTCTTCTCGTGCTTTTCATGGTTTTATTTTACCTCAGTTTGTAAGGCTAAAGTGCTTTCGATTACCAATTCTACTTGTAATATGAATTTTACGAATAAAGCAAGCACCATTAGAACTTACTCATACAAACACAAACACTGTTTTAATTGACTTATTGTCAATCAATCACAATTCAAACTTACTCATACA